TTCAAATTCTGTTTTAAATATTGATACACAAAATATACTTTAATTTTTAGAAAATAAATTTTTTTTTTTTTTTTTTTTTTGTTAAAAGTTTATTTCATATTACACCAAATGTTACTTGGCTTTATGAAAATCTCTGATCAACAAATTATATCTCAAAAAGAAATGACATTATCAACCTAGAAGTATAGAGTTCGAATTCAAGATAGATTTATCACATGAAATGGTTCTCTTATTAATTAGAATTGGACGTCTTCTCTATTAACAAACACAATTATTATCAGAATTTTTATGATCGATTTTAAAAACGAAAGCATTTTACTTCGATTGGAAATTGATTGCAGTTTGAACGATGATATTCAGAAATTAAATCTTCATCACTATTATAGATTGCACTAGAAAAATACTTTGTAAAAGGTCGTGCTCATTTTCGTTTCAACGAATGACTTGAATTTTTTTTTATAAATTCTACTAAAAGATTTGCACAGTGATTTTTATATAAATAATCCAACTTTTTATTTTCTATAAAATGGTATTTACAATTCTCTCGTATGTAATGATTTTTCAATACGAAGAAAAAAAGCATTTTTAGTTATTTTTATTGCTATTACACAACTAAAGATGACATTTGAGATCAGAATCAAAAATTACATCGAATCAATCACATCCGAACATTGCGCATATCTGTTTGTAGGAGAAAAACGAAAATTTTTCAGAATTAGGAAAAAATCTGTGAATATGATAAAAAATAAATTCATAACAAGCTAGAATTTATTATATCTGTCAACTAGTGACATCTATAAATCAAAGTGTATCGTATTTTTAAAAAATTATTTTATTAGAAATATCAACAGTAGTATTTACTCTAAGTTCAATTTTCTAACTGGCTCAATGATATCATCTTATCAAATTCGACAAATGAGTCATAATAATATAAAGGAGAACTAAAATTATGAAATAAATAATAGTGTACGTGATTTTCTACACATCCAATCTATTCTTTTATTTCGAATTTTTATCCATTCTAACTTTTTTTGTTTTTGTACATCGTTCCTCTAAAAGACGAAAATCTAACAATAAAGAACCTGAACCTTCAAGTTCATCATCATCATCAGAAAATAATAATGACGAAGAAGAATTACATCAACATGAAAACATGCAAATAGATTTAGAAGCTAGCTCGTTTACTTATTGATAATGATTATTCAACAATTCTCTATTTTCTTGAACAATCATTTGGTAGCTCAATAAACCAAAAAAAAAATCTATTCTTGATTTAAATCAATCAACAATCTATATTGGTAGTATTTTTTTATTAACTATTAGATTCTACTCTAGATGAAACAAACGATAATGATGAAAGTTTAGTATTAGGTATATGTTTCAAAAATATTCTTCAAAGTAAGTTTCTTTTTTTTTTTTGAAAAAAAGAAAACAAATTTGGACGAGTTGGGGTTTGAACCCAAGACTTTTCGCATGCAAAGCGAACACTCTACCGCTGAGTTACACGCCCATGGTAATCATATACGAAAAATTTCGTTTTTATTTGTTATTTTTCTTGTTCTTCGAAATAAGTTTATCATAAATTTCTTACAAAAATTAATTTTTCAATAGATAAACTTATATTTTAGATAAACTAATGGATAATGAAAATCATTTAATAGAAGATAAAATTGATGAAAATAAATCACAAGAAATTATCACATTTAAATCACTTGTAAGTCATTTTATTAAAGTATAAACTTCTAGATAAATAAATATTCAATCTCATGGTTCTTATCAAAGATAGTATTCGGTTGGGTTGAAATTCATATGAACAATACCCTAAGTCGAAGATTTCGGTCACCCGAACAGGGTGACAGAATTCTGGTTGGAGAATTTTTTGGATTTTTTCCCCGGTGACTTTCAGCCAACTTCCTTTCGTTTTCTGCAGAAATCACCGAAAATGTTTCGGCAACTTCCGATGTTTTCCTACAGGAATCCGCTCGTACTTCTCGATCTGGGACACTAACGTGTTATTCATTTGTGATGAAACATTCCCTTGATGACTATTTTATTCATAAAATGAATTCTAATTGAAATCGTTTTTTGTTTTGTTTTCTAAGGGTCTTAATGATGTATTATGTGAAGCATGTGAAAAACTTGGTTGGAAAACACCAACAAAAATTCAATGTGAAGCATTACCTGTTGCATTTCAAAGTATATTTTAATATATATATTTGTATTTTTTTTTGTTTTATTTCAATTAAATTATAGATCGAGATATAATTGGTTTAGCTGAAACAGGTTCAGGAAAAACAGGTGCATTTGCATTACCAATACTTCAAGCATTATTAGCAACACCACAACGTCTTTTTGCACTTGTTTTAACACCAACACGTGAATTAGCTTATCAAATAAGTGAACAATTTGAAGCATTAGGTTCAAGTATTGGTGTTAAATGTGGTATGAGATCAAAAAACAAAAAAGGAAACAAATATTTTAATAATTTTGTTTATTTTTCATAGCGGTTATTGTTGGTGGTATGGATATGATGTCACAATCAATAGTATTAGCTAAAAAACCACATATTGTTATAGCAACACCTGGTCGACTTGTTGATCATTTAGAAAATACGAAAGGTTTTTCACTTCGTTCAATACGTTATTTAGTTATGGATGAAGCTGATCGTATATTAAATATGGATTTTGAAATTGATTTAGATAAAATTCTTAAAATTCTTTCATCATCATCAACACGTTCAACATATTTATATTCAGCAACAATGACAAAAAAAGTTGCTAAATTACAACGTGCTTCATTACATGATCCAATTAAAATTGAAGTATCAGATAAATATTCAACTGTTGAAAAATTACAACAAACATATTTATTTATACCAGCTAAATATAAAGATGTTTATCTTGTTTCAATATTAAATGATATGAATGGAAAATCTATTATTGTTTTTTCTTCAACATGTACAACAACATTAAGATTAGCATTATTAACTAGAAATTTAGGTTTTACAACTGTACCATTACATGGACAAATGAGTCAAGTAAGAGAAACAAAAAACAAAAAAGCGATTGTTTAACTAACGAGGGAACGTTTTCAACTGGCAAATTCCTTTTGTGTTCGACTCTTTGTGTATAAGATAGACTCCAATGAGGTATGAAAAATTCCAAAAGATTAAATCCCCTTAGGCCTTCTGTCCAGAGTTACAGGCATTTTACTAGAATTTTAGCCTAGGACATGGTATATACGAACAAATTGAATGACGATATTTTGATCTGAGATTTTACTCACAGACAGGTCTATTTATGAGCGGAATGTCCTGGAAATTTCAGCTCGAAAGAACATTTCCTTCCCAAGATATTAAAGTACTCATATACGACAAAAGATGCTAAGATTTTCTGTTTTTTGGGACTTTAATATCTTGGAAAGGAAATGTTCTTTTGAGCTGAAATTTTCAGGGCATTCCGCTCATAAATAGACCTGTCTGTGAGCAAAATCTTAGGTCGAAATACCATCATTCAATTTGTCGGTATATATCCTGAGCCATAGGCTAAAATGCCTGTAACTCTGGACAGAAGGCCTAACGGGATTTAATCTTTCGAGATTTTTCATACTTCATTGGGGTCTATCTTATGCACAAAGTCAAAAGGGATTTGATAGTTGAAAATGTTTCGAAATTTTCCATTATCTATTTGTACTTCTGTAACCGTTAACAAAAAAAAAAAACAAAATCAATAGTATTACATTTCTAAATATTTTACTTCTATTTTAATTTAAATAATTCATTGAATCAAAAGAATAAAAGATCTATTCGTGAATACTATCATTTATTAATGAAAAAGTTTTCACAAAGAATCAAAAATTAAATATTTTTATTTTTCTATAGACAAAACGTCTTGGTGCATTAAATAAATTTAAAGGTAAAGCTCGATCAATTCTTATAGCTACTGATGTTGCTAGCCGGTAAAATTTTTAAAATATTTAAAAAAAAAATATATTATAAAAATTAATTATTTCTAGAGGTTTGGATATTCCACATGTTGATATTGTTATTAATTATGATATTCCAACACATTCAAAAGATTATATACATCGTGTTGGTCGAACAGCTCGTGCTGGTCGTAGTGGTAAATCAATAACATTTGTAACACAATATGATATTGAATTATATCAACGTATTGAATATCTTATTGGTAAACAATTAACACAATATATTACACATGAAGATGAAGTTATGCTTTTATTAGAACGTGTTAATGAAGCTGATCGACAAGCTCGAATACAAATAAAAGAAATAGAAGATGAAAAAAAAGATCATCGACAAAAACGTAAAAAGAAAGATCAAAAAAATGATGATTTTTTAGATGAAATGAAATTATCAAATAAAAAACGAAAACATGAATATAATGATTCAGAAAATAGTTTTGGTGTTAAAAAACATTTAAAGAAAAAAAAGAATAAATAAATAAATATTTTTCGTTGTTTTTTTTTTCTCTCACATTAAAAAAGAAATGTTTGAGAGATTTTGTTAAACACAAAAAATAAAAATTTTGTTTTCATTTTATTCTGATAATATGATTACGATTTGATGATATTTAATACAATTGATTTTTGTTGAACAAACTTTCTAGGAAATAGTCTTTTGAGATCTAATCGGCATGAGAAACGACAAACAATTATGATGTTTTCTATGATACTGACTTCAATGTTTATCAAGCTTCTCTCAATCAAATATACACCCAAGATTTCGGCACTAACTTATTAAAGACTAATGAAAGTCAATCGCTTTCAAAGATCAAAGCTGTAGAGTGTGGATATAGCCTTTCGAATGCAGCAAAATTCGTTAGTGAATGAAACACTTTGAACCACATCCATCTACTTCTCAAATATATCGAATATAATATTAGACTTAAATTCTTATTCAAGTGTCTTTGATCAACAGTATTTTACAAAATGACACAATACTAAACAAGTTTAATACAATTAATATAGATCAGTTCATCCCTTTAACCTTGAATTGGTCTTGACAGATGAACAGTAGAATGTTGTAGTTCTTCCATTGGTAAGGTCATTGGTGCTACTGGATTTCCATGAAATTTCAATTTTATAAGTATTTGTTTGATTTGTCGAGTAATAAATGCGATCACTATACTAACTATAAATACGGTTACTGTTGGACCCATAAATTGAATTCGATACATATAATAAGAACCTGAAAAAGGAAGATGAATATTAGTCATGATAGCAAATACTAGATTTGGTAATCCGGGTAAAATTATAACAACGACAGTAAATAAAATACGACGAGTAACCATGAAATCACGATGAGCTCTTCTTCGTTTTCGCACTTCTGACAGTTGAAATGCCTGATGACGAATAAAATATACCAAACGAGCATAGATTAACAATAGATAAACAGGAGGCAAAAAGAAAATATTCATAATTGTATAAGAAAGTCCAAGAATATTTTCATATCGAATACCACAGTAATAATTTAATTCATGTAAAGAATAGAATGGTTCTGACCAAAAGTATGATGGAAGAATTAAAAGAAAATAAATAATCCATTGAAGTTGAATACAAATTAAATTGAATGCAAATCCCTAGAATTTCATTCTTAGATTTTTTCAATATCAATAAAAATAAAATTATGCATGAATAAAGAAAGAATAAAGTATGCATACCCGTAAAAATCTGTATTTGGTATATACAACTCTTGTTAATCGATAAAAAGCTTGAAGAACAAAGGTCATATAGAAACAACCAAATGTTTCATAAGTAAAAAATCCTAGAACTTGACATGCGATTGAATTTTTATCGATAAGATTATTGGTTTCATATAAATCTGCTTTAAGAGCATTTATAGTCTGTAATAAAACCATGAAAGAAAATGCAAACATAGCTGCATATGTGTTTGTTGCAAGAAGAAGTGAAACATTTTTTTTTCGTCGTAGATGAATGAGCAAGATGAGAAGCAAAGTGAAAGCAATCAATAAAGTGAAACTAGAGCTGATGAGAGTGACAAAAGTAATAGCAGTATTTAAAAACATCATTGTTTTAATTGAATGTTCAAGAGATGTGTAAGAAAAAGATACATTTATTCTAGTTTTTCTCTCATTTGTTCTTCTATTAAAAAAAAAAAAAACAGAAATTCTTTTTTTTTTTCTTAGCCAATAGACTCTAAGCAAGTATCTAACAAGAGATATTTTCTTATTCAGTATAAGTCTAGTCGCTTTGAGCTTGTTTTTTTTAGCAGTCAAAGAATATCTAATATATTGTTTATATGATAATAATGATGTAAACAGAAGATGTATGTCAAAGTTCGTTTTAGATTAGAATAAAACTGAACCATACCAAATCCATAGATGCCTTTGAACTCGAATTTCTTTTTCTTAATAACATGTGTCTAGAGGGACAATCACGAATAAATGATAGGAATCTTATCAATTAAAATGAAGAATTTTTATATGAATTTCATCAATAATCTTCGTTTATTCATTATTCAATAGTAACATCGAACAGTTTCAAATTTATGTAAGATGCTGGAAATTTAGAACTTTTACAAGTTTTATGTGCAGTTCGATAGTGCACATCTAATTGTTCAAGCTCTTTCTGAATAAGGTTCAACAAATCATTTGAAGAGAATGTCAAAGTTCAAAGTCAGTAAGAAAACAATTTTTCATACAGAATTGTTTTTTTTCGAAATCTATTTTGAAATTAGGTTTTGTAAAATAATTTCATGCCAAAAATCAGACAAACAGATTCGATGGAAAGAAGAGAACAATATATTCCTCCATTTTTGTGACAAAGATTGGTACATAAAAATATTTAAAATACGAACTTTTCTTCAAATGTTATCGCCAACGTTATTCAGCAAAAATTCAAAAACTAGCTTTTCTTAGAAAACCCATTAGGCTCTATATGACTGTGCAGAAAAAAACCAATACTGAAAAATGTTTGTGAAAGTTTTTAATATACAACATCTTGTATTCTTTTGAAATTTCGCTATTGACTATGAGTTTAATGATGAAAACTAATAATAGAATTAACTTTTTCATTTCATGTCAATTTGCATCTCCAACTTTTTGAGCTCTTGAACAGAAGAGATCTCAAAACCATATTATATCATGTCGTAGAAACAAGCAAAAAAAAATAACGCAAAATAATTCTAACAACGTTATTTCACTAGAACTCATGTTTCTGGTACAACAAGAAATATTTTAATGCAATTCTTTCAAACACAAAGAAATTGGTCTCTCACTCAAATTATAAAATGAATCAATTATTTATATCTCTGTTATGAGTTGGTTGGATTCATGTCGAGTTATTCTATGAAAATAGAAATGTTGTTTATTTATCCTCATTGGAAAAGCTATGCCTATCTAATGACGCACTGTCTTTCAGCACATCATCATTTTAATAATACTTCCTATGTAGATGTTAAACATTCAAAGCAATGAATAGATTTTAATTGATGGCTATGACTTCATCAATGATGTATGTGCTAAAGTGTGACTATAAAAAAAACTCTATGTTTATGCAGTCTAACTATAGTGCAAGTAATTGAGTCATTAGTTTCAAACTTATTATCTCAATGCTTTCATTTTTGTTTCGACATACTCACACTACTGGATAACTTTCATATTTTGAAGAAAAGTTAGACAAATCACCCAAATGATGTTACAAAATGATTCTCAAAACAACACAAGCGATCCAAAACTAATTAACAAATCTGAATGAAAATTAATGATTATCGAACTGTCGTTATCGCTTGTCAAGAACAGTATAAAATCTATTTACCTAATCGTTTACGATGATTCTTCAAGATGATCTCTCAAAACTATATCTAACGTTATTCCTTAGAAAACTGTCGTGAACACTTTCATGTATATAGGATGATAGTACATTGCAAAGAATCAATCTACAAAAATCATAGTGACTAACAAGTAAAATGTTCAATACATTTAAACGAAATAGACTTTAATAGAGAGAGTTAAACTAAAGTCGATTTACTGTCAATCGAATAGTATACATTTTATTGTCCTCTCGTTGTTGGCTTTATAAGCGCAAAATCGATTGAAATGACACATTCTTTATTGATAAAAAGTGTTTTGAGTTGTGATGTTACTTGTCATCGTACGATATTCAGTGTGAACCAGAAACTGTAACCGAATCGGAATGAATGCGAGTGTGTGGTGTGTAGATGTGGGTTAAGAAACACTGGACACCACATCTTACACCCACACCCATCTTGCCCTTAATAATTACTATTCTATAAGTTCAATAAATTTATTGAAATCTATGATTATGTTGTCAGATACGTTGTCAATACATAACTTTCTTTTTCCTAATGATAATATATATGTGCTAACTGTCATAGAAAATCTCAAATGTTATCTTATTCTTCGCTCCATCGGCACAACTACCATTGTACCCTACTATACACATTGATTTAATCGCTTAGTAAACTTTCGAGTACATGATCCTTTCTCTCGACGAATTTTGAGATGTACTGTTGAGTTTTATCTAAACTTGAAATTCAATTAGCTCATACTTTTCTATGCTCATCTGATCCTGCCTCTGCTAGGTTAATAATACCATAGTCCTAGTGATTGACACCTACAATAATATTCTTTTGTTGTGTTAAATTCCAAAGCTTGCATTATTCACATCCGTTAGAACCTACAGTAGAAATCTTAGATTCATGAAATGTTTTGGAAGATTCTAGAAAGACCTATGCACTTCATAATTGATTCGTCTTTTCTTTTTGCTAGGAAAATGTACCCAATGATCGTTAGCTTTCATCATTCTTCTACATCCCGTTTTAAAGGATACGCATCCAATGATCTGTAGTTTTCATTCTTCCATTCTCCGTAAGTCAAACTGAATAGACGTGCTCGTGACTGAAAAAAACTTTTCATGATGATGTTCGTGATCTTGAGCAGTGTTTCTTATAGAAATCTGAAACAAGTTGTACATGTAAATTTTGTCTCTATGGACGAAATGTACATATACATCTTGTATCCATAGGCACGGTACACAAATCAAGTTGCATACAGTATAAAGAAAGAAAGAAAATAAAACAGTGCTAATGTCATTTTAATAAACTTCCATGCAGTTTTTATTTTACAGATGAGGTTTTACATTTGGTACAAGCATTTTTTTCAGAATTTAATACAGTTTTCGATATACTAGAAAGAAAACCCACACCCACACCCACACCCTTTCACTATATCAATCTGTTCGTGTTGATTCTTTTTAATGAAGTATGTTATACCAAAGCCAATGAAAAAATTTTGATTCAATTCGATTTGGCCACACTAAACAAATCTTCATACGATTTGACAGTTTTAAAAAAATGTCGTCATTCAATTTAATTCGTTTCGATAGAATCTCCATTTGAATTCGATTTGGTTTCGGTCTTTGAGTCATATAGATAGCAAACTCACCCCAACTACTATCAAAAGTAAAAATATCGTAAACAGATTCTTGCGACGTCGACAAATAAAAATATTAAAGACGATGGTATATCAAAGAAGAAATTCCCTCATCTTCACTCTCACTTTTACATCCACATTTTCGTTTTCGATATTTTTATTTGCGACATGTTTACATTTCGATCAAAGTAGAGTTTACTAGAGAGCACTGTCAACTAGTGAACAATTGCTCTTTAAACATGGTTAAACAATTTTTTGCGTGACTCATCGTGATCGTGTCCAAAAATGTTGGTCATACAGGACATTACTTCCAGTTCTTAGCGCTGAAGAGAAGTGAGAAGGAGAAAGCTGAAAAGAACCATTTCAACTTCTGCTTATCATCTTTTGTTCGAAAATACACACCTCTTCCACAAAAGGCTATCATCATTAAAATAATAATCAATATTGGCATTAGTTAATGGACTAATCTTATGAGAACACATGTTTTGATTTGAATAGTTGTAATGATGAACGAATCGATCAGTCGACATTGAAAATGAAATTACAAGAAACAGGATTTTTGTAGTAAAGGATAATATTTATTGATTAGTTACACACTGCCGAAATAGTCAGCATGTGATCTTATATTATCAAATTAGATGAATGATAACTCAAATGTATGTTAAATCGTAAAGGCCATTAGCTGCTTTCTTTTGAGATCTGATTAACATGAGAAAAAAGGCAGGAAACTATTACATTTCTGAGAGTCTGACTTGAATACTTATCATTCTTGTCTTAACCAAGTATGCACCAAAGGCTTTAGAGCCAGCATATTGAATAGTTTTGAATATTGAACGTTCTCAAAGATCGAAGCTTTGTAGTAAAGTAGGGTGTGCAGTTGATTTTTCGGGCGCATAAGAATGTGCCAGTATATGAAACACTTTAACCCACATCTACGCTCTTATTGATTTATTCTTCTGGAATAAATCTAATATAGCATTAGATTTAAATTCTTATTCAAGTCTCTTTGATCGGCAATATTTTATTATTATTATAAATAAAATGAGAGAAGACTAAACTAGTTTAATATAATTAAAACAGATCGGTTCATAGTTTTAAATTTGAATTTGCGTTGGTGAAGAAAATAGAAGTTGTTGGATTTCTCGTATTTGTGATGTAATTGATACTACTTAACTTCTACAAAATTTTCATTTTTGAAATGATTTGTTTGATTTGTGGAGTAATAAATATGATCGCTATACTAAGTATGAACACAACAACTGCTGGACCCATAAATTCAATTTGATACATATGATAAGAACCAGAAAAACGATGATCAATATTTGTCATGATAGCGAAGCCTAGATTTGGTAATCCAGGTAAAGCAAGAGCCATGACAAGAAATACAATACGACGAGTGACAATCAGATCACGATTAACCCTTGTTCGTTGTCGTTCTCGTAACGATTGAGGAGCCTGATGATGAATAAAATACAGCAAACAAGCATATATGAAAGATAGATAACCAAGAGGAAAAAAGAAAATATTCATAATTGTATAAGAAAGTCCAAGAATTTTTTCATATCGAATACCACAGTAATAATCTGATTCATATAAAGAATAGAGTGAGCCCGGCCAAAAGTATGATGGAAGAAGTATAAGAAAAGAAATAATCCATTGAAGTTGAATACAAATTAAATTGAATGAAAATCCCTAGAATTTCATTCTTAGTTTTTATAGCGTACTTTAACATTAATATAAATAATTACATCAAGCATGTTTGAAAACTATGCATGAAAAAAAAGGAAAAAGTTAGAAATTTACATACCCGTAAAAATTTGTATTTGGTATATACAACTCTTATTAATCGATAAAATGCTTGAAGAACAAAGCTCATATAGAAACAACCACCTGTTTCATAAGTAAGAAAACCAAGAAGTTGACATTCAAATAATTGTTTATTAGTACCATATAGATTTACTGTTAGAGCATTAAGAGTCTGTGCTGATATCATGAAAGATAATGCAAACATAGCTGCATATGTATTTGTTATAAGAAGGATTGAAACATTCCTTTTATGTTGTAGATAAATGATCAAGATGAAAAATAAAGTGAAGGAAATCAATACTGTAAGACTAGAGCTGATTAGAGTAATTGAGGTAAAAATATAACTTAGTAACATCGTTTGTTTTAACTGAACACTAAAGAAGTTGGTAAGATAATGCTATTCTTTTCAAGCTCTTTTCTCATTTGTTCTTTTATGAAATGGCGTATGTTTCTTTTTTGAGTCAATTGACTGAGTAAGTGTCTAGCAGAAGATATTTTCTTATTTAGTAAAACTTCAGTCGCTTTGAGCAATTTACTTGCATTCAAAGAAGTTCTAAAGTACCTGTTATTAAATGAATGGAAACAGAACATAAAGGGTTCAAATACGTAATTAGAAAAATATTCAAACCTTAAAGCTTTGTTTCTAAGCCCGTCAAAGTGTTTACCATTGCGTAAAGGTCAGTAGGATTCAAAACACTGTAGAATGTTATAATATTTGATCAAAGTGAAACATTTGTTTTTTCGAAATTAATTTTGTATAGATTATCAGATGATAATCTTGAAGAGATTCAATCAGAAGGACAGAAAAAAAAACATTCATTAGTTTATCATCAAAAATCAATTTCAAACTAAATTGAAAATTTGAATTTTCCTCTAAATGATATCTTGAATCTTACTTAGTAAAAATTCAAAAACTAACTATTCGTAGACAACTTTTTGTGCTCTATTCGACTTCAGAAAGAAAACTTATGTCGAAATTAATTTGTAGAAATTTTAAATTTTCAGAACCTGATAACCTTCAGAAATTTTCTTCTTGAATATAAATTTATAGATTAAGTATTACAATATGATTAATGTTTTTATCCATGACAATTTATAATTCAGTCTTCTCACTTGTCCAAGACAAGGACTCTCGGAACCATAGTACATAATCTTGAACACACATGAAGAAAAATAGAGAAAAGCAGATGCTTTAAGAGTCAACAACATCATCTCGTAAGAATCTATATATTTTCTAAACAAAACATAATTTAATTTGATTATTTGAGAGGCACGAAGGAAGTTGGTTTTCATTTAAATTATTAATGAATCAACAACTTTTTCTATTTTTGCTATTAGTCAGTCGAACACATGTTGAATTATGCTTTGAAAACGGATATACACTTAACTGAATCTTTTTGTGAGAGGCATGCCTATCTAATTTTGCACTTTCTTCCAGCACATGTTTCAATGGAACTTCCTACATAAATACTAAATATTTAAAGAAATAAATTGAATCTAGGTAATGAGTATGCATGAACCGATGATGTAGGTACTAATATGTGACTTTTAAAAACTTATCTTATATAAAATCTAATTACAGTAATAGTGATTGAAACATTAGTTTCAAGCGTACCAATTGTATGAGGATGAGTGTTTTTTTGCAAGTGTGGTAGTTAATGAACTTTGTTATGGTTATGAGTGTGATTGATCGAACAGTTGAAGAGTAGTATCATACGGCACCAATACTCATACATCCATTTGATATTAATATCAATTCAGTCTATTAAGTAGTATATTTTACAGGAACATCTAAATACTCAGTCGAAAGTCAAGCGATCCTCCACGACAAGCGTTGTTTGTCAGCTTACAATCAAAATGATAACAATTTCTGTAATTAATAAAATGCTTGGAAATCTTGTAATTTAGAATTACCATTTTCTCAAGTCATTCGATTTATTGAAATCGTTGATTGTATTGTCAGATACATCGTCGATACCTAAATTCATTTTCCTAATGACAATATGTATATGCTAACTGTCATCGAAAGCAGCAAATTTCATCTTATTCTTTGCTCCATCGGCGCAACTACCATTGTATCCTACTATACACATAGTAAACTTTCGAGTACATGATCCTTTCTTTCGACGAATTTTGAGATATACTGTCGGGTTTTACCTGAATGTAAAATTCAATTAGTTCATCATCTTTTATGTTCATCTTATTCTGTCTCTGCTATGTCAATAATAACATAGTCCTAGTGATTGATAATTATAGTAACATTCTTTCGCTGCATTAAATATCAAAACTTACATTATTCACACCCGTTAGAATCTACAATGAAAGTCCTAGAAACATACAATCCTTTGAAAGATTCTAGAACAATCTAAGCACTGCTATGACTAACTCGCCTTTTCCTGGTGCTAAGAAAACGTCTTCAATAATAATTAGTCTCTCCACCTCTATTATTATGTAGATGTATGCAATAGTCTTTGGCTTCTCTCTATCCTTTTCACTGAGTTTCTATGACCTTGGTGAAGGAGAGTCATAATAATTTTGACTTAAACTTCCACTAGCTATATTTTCTTCCAAAATGTGTCACTTTCACAAAATGCTATCAACATTACACGAAGAATAATCACTATTGACATCAAGAAATGGATTAATCTTATGATAACACATCTTTTGATGTGAATATTCGTTATGAGAAACAAACATATCAGCTGACATCTACAATGAAATTACAAGAGCAATAAAAAAATTGACTGCTACTTCAAAGTGCTCAAGCTTTTCTTTTGCATACCAGAGTAAAGCTACCTAATTCAACATACATATTTAATCCAACATTGTAGTTTAATATACGAGGATTGATCGGTTCTCATAAATGTGTTTATTGCAATCCGGATGAATGTGTTCTCTGTTACACATATTCGACATGTGATTATTTTGGATTCTCTTCTATATTAGTCAGCCATATATTAAGTTTTCTGCGGGATCACGAGCAATAATGTAAATGTCAATCGTTTTCTACCTTTTTAAGACTGATTAAATGATACCTGATTGCGTTAATCAAAAGAAGTGAACTCTGATTAACTAACATTTAACGAGTACTGTAAAACACATTAAATGATCTTCTTTACTATTTTTCATTTATCAAAATAAGCAGTACATTAGACATTTCTTGTTTTGTTTTTGTTTTCTTTTTAACTAAATTTACCCAATATTTCACGATCACAGCGGATTTCAGCTAGCTGTTAACATTAAATTGTTAAGCAATCTGAAGAACAGCATGTCGACCTCTCCAGTTGATTGTTATGCCTATGATCTGCTCAAACAAAGAGTAATTTCTTCAGGTTTCAGGCAATCTTTCACATAAGTATCAAAATAAGAACGAATCAGTCAGTAAGTGGAAGATGAATGTAAAAAAAGCTGAATTTTTGCTATCGAACTGTTCATAATTAGGACGGAAAAGATAAAATAGACTATTTTAAAACTTAATTATTTCCCATAAAAAGTCGAGCATGCATATTAAAAACTAATGAAAGTCAATCTTTTCGAAAGATCAGACCTTTGTACTACAGTGAAGTGTGAGTATGCTCTTTCATATGCAATAGAATCTGTCGGCAAATGAAACACTCTAATTCACACCTTTTTTTCTTATTTACTTATTTTTCTCAAATAAATCGAATATGATATCAGACTTAAAATCTTATTCAAGTCTTTTTCATCAGCAATATTTTATTCTTATAAACAAAAAAGAAAATAATACTGAACTAGATTAATAAAAATCAGAAAAGATCGATTCATAGTTTTAAACTTGAAGTGATGTTGATAGGAGAACACAAGGTTGTCGTAGTTCTCGCATTGGTAATGTCATTGGTGCTACTTGATTTCCACAAAACTTTAATTTTATCAATATTTGTTTAATTTGCGGAGTAATAAATATCATAACTATACTGAGTATGAGTACAGCTACAACTGGAACCAAAAATTGAATTCCATATATATAATAAGAATCAGAAATATGAAGATTAATATTTGTCATGATGCCGAAACCTGTATTTGGTAATACGGATAAAGTAAGAGCAATGACAGTAAATAATATACGACGAGTAACAATTAGATCACGATGAGCTTTTCTTCGTTTTCGCGCTTCTATCCATTGAAATGCCTGATGACGTATAAAATATAGTAAACGAACATAAATTATTGTCAGATAAACAATAGGAACAACCGAAATATTCATAATCGTATACAAAATCCCAGCAACTTTTTTATATCGAATACCACAGTAATAATCTGATTCATATAAAGAATAGAATGTTTCCGGCCAAAAGTATGATGGAAGAAGTATAAGAAAATAAATAATCCATTGAAGTTGAATACAAATTAAATTGAATGAAAATCCCTAGAATTTCATCTTTAGCTTTTTAGATTGCTTCAACATCAATATCAATAATTATATCAAGCATGTTTGAAAACTATGCATGAAACAAAAAAGAAAGATAGAAATATACATACCCGTAAAAATTTGTGTTTGGTATATACAACTCTTATTAATCGATAAAATGCTTGAAGAACAAAGGTCATACAACAACAACCAAATGTTTCATAAGCCAGAAAACCTAGAAATTGACATCCAATCATTTGTTTGTTGGCAAGATCAGTGCTACTATATAGATCTGCTTTAAGAATAATAATAGATTCTGATAAAATCACCAGAGAATATACGAGTATAGCTGCATATGTATTTGTTATAAGAAGAAGTGAAATATCTTTTTTTCGTAGTAAACAAATTACAAAGATAAGAAATAAAATGAAAGCAATCAATATTGTGAAACTAGAACTAATGATATTTAACAACATTGTTTCTTTTTGAATTGAATGTTAAAGATTTGTGAATGAACATGATACTCTGTTTTCTAGAACTTCTCTCATTTATTCTTTCATAAAAACAGAACTTATTCAGTACAACCCTAGTCGCTTTCAAAGTGTTTTTTCATTAGTTAAAGAACTTCTAATATACTATTTATTAAGTCAAATGAAAAAGAAGAAGATGGTTATCAGTACGAAATTCTAGTCACATTTTCATTTATATTCTCCAATGCAAATTTGATTGACAATCCAGGTATAGCCAGCAGATGTATATAAAAGTTCATTTTAGATCAAAAAAAAAAACTGAACCATATCAAATTCATGGATATCATT